AAAAGAGAGACAGGAGGATGCAATTGTACCAGCTTCCCCACTGAGGACGTGCCACACATGACCTGTCCCTCCCACCAAGCCCCGCCTCTTAAAGGTCTACCGCCCCCCATAATGTGCCAGGTTGAGGACCACACATTTAATGCATGGACCATTGAGCTGCGCATAGCATGTAAAGCTGTAGCTTGCACTGTAACCAAAGTTGACCTTCCTATAGCCAGAGCAGCAGACGAGGAGGGGAAACCTTCTAATTACGGCCTGGCTTCTGTCTTTTTCAGGCCTTTTGGGGAAGTCTGCAACAATGCCAAGGTGCCAGGTAAGTGACAGACAGGAGAGGACAGCCTTCTCCCTCATGGAAGCTAGTCTAATGCCAGAGAGAGAGAGAGAGAGAGAGAGAGAGAGAGAGAGACAGAGAGACAGAGAGAGAGAGAGACAGAGAGAGAGAGAGACAGAGAGAGAGAGAGAGAGAGAGAGAGAGAAAAGGCACAGACAGGCACAAGAGCTTGGAACAGCTCAGTGGATAGAGGAGCTTGCTGCCAAACCTGATGATCTAAATTCAGTCCCTAGGACTCACGTGATGGAGAGAGGGTCAACCACTCCTGCAAGTTGGCCTCTGACCACCATTCATGTGCCACATACATACACACACACACACACACACGCACACATACATACATATAAATGTTTCTTTAAAAAAAAATTGGTAAGACTGGGGTGTGGATTAGTTGGGAGAATATGTGCAAAGTCTTGTTAAGATTCCCCGGTACCGTGTATATCAGCTGTAGTGGCACAAACCTTTAATCCCAGTACTCAGGAGATGGAAGGCTGGAGGATCAGGAGTCAAGGCCAGGTTCAGCTACACAGTGACTTGGGGGCCAGCCTAGGTTACATGAGACCCTGCCTCAACAAACCATACCAAAATACTTGGGCAGGAAATGGGTAGCAGAGAGGATACGGAAGGCTTTCAAAGGTCTGGAGTTGGCAGCCATACTGAAAACTGAATGTTTTAGGTAAGGCTGTGAAAATAGTAGAACCTGTTGAGGTGGGTGAGGGGTATTTTATCAGCAAGACAGGTAGATGAACAGGAGCCAGAAGTGAGACAGCTGGCCTTTAGACCTGCTTAGGAAATAAGGCTAGACAAGTGAGACTCAGCCACTGAGCCTAGGGTGCTAGCCCCAGGGCACTGAAAGAATATAGGTGTGGCTCAGTAGGATCCCCCAGTGAGGGGCTGGGGTGTGGCTCAGTGGTAGAGCACCTGCCTAGAATCCCCCAGTGAAGGGCTGGGGGCGTGGCTCAGTGGTAGAGCCCCTGCCTAGAATCCCCCAGTGAGGGGCTGGGGTGTGGCTCAGTGGTAGAGCACCTGCCTAGAATCTCCCAGAGAGGGCTGGGGGCGTGGCTCAGTGGTAGAGCCCCTGCCTAGAATCCCCCAGTGAGGGGCTGGGGGCATGGCTCAGTGGTAGAGCCCCTGCCTAGAATCCCCCAGTGAGGAGCTGGGGGCATGGGTTCTTTTCCCAGGATATCAAAATGAGTAAAACACTAAAAATCTAAAGGCAGGGGCTTTCTGCCGGGAGCTCAGGAGGCGGACCCAGAACGTCCCCTGGCATCTGGCCTCAGCAACTGTTTCTTCCACCAGCCAAAGACAACATTCCCAAGCGCAAGAGAAAGCGGGTCTCTGAAGGCAATTCAGTCTCCTCCTCTTCTTCTTCTTCATCCTCGTCCTCTAACCCAGAGTCTGTGGCATCCACCAACCAGATCTCCCTCGTGGTAAAGTCACGCGGATCCGAACTTCACCCTAATTCTGTGTGGCCTTTGCCCCTCTCTCGGGCAGGGCCATCCACAGCTCCAGGAACTGGGAGGCACTGGGCTCTGAGAGGGACTCAGCCAACCACAGAGGTGCAGGCACATCCACTTGTTTTGCCCACAAGATAGACTGAGGGTCCGTGCGATCAGCCAGTGTTTGAGGTGTGGCCATCACTTGTGATGTGTGTAAATGATGCCAGCAGGAACCAGAGGGTAGGTGGTCACGTGACAGAACTCAGTCTCCATCACCTGTCGGCCACATCGCTTCATTTAGCCCTTTCCTGGTTCAGAGAAACTTACGTTAAAAAAAAAAACACACAAAAACAAACAAACAAAAAAACACCCAGGGTGTGCTGTCTTATGCCCTTAGTGGAGGGGAGAAGATCAGAAGTTCAAGGCCAGCTAGGGCTATGACTCTGTCTCAAAGAAAACTGCTAAAGGAGGGCTGAAGGTGTGGCTTAGTCAGCAGGGTGCTTGCTTTGCATGCCTGAAGCCCTGGGTTCTATTCCCAGCACCACCTAACCTGGACCTGGTGGTACATGCCTGGGATCCTAAGACTGGAGAAGTAGAGGCAGGAGGATCAGAAGTTCAAGGTCACCCTCAGCTATTTAGAAAGTTTGAGGCTAGCCTGGGCCACGTGAGACTGCCTCAAGAAAAAGGAATGGAGGAAAGAAAGACTGTTGTGGGTTTTTTTTTTCCATTCTTCTCTATCATTGACTACTCCCCTCACCCCAAGAGGTGGGACAGTGTCTGTGGGGTGACACTGGGTGACACTGGGTGAACAACGCTTTCTGCTCGTGCAGACTCAGCCCTTGATGGTGTCTAGTTCATATATTGAACCTCTTCAACACAGGTGGGGACAATCACTGCCTTCCACCTGTGTGACCTCAGACAGATCTCTCTCCCTCTCTGGGCCTCAGAGGCTGCCTAATAAGTAACGTTTGACTTCACCCTCAGAGAAAGCGTGCTAGTTATTCTGGGAGTTTCTCCGTGTCGTCTGGAGTCCTAATGTGGTCCCTCTGTCCCCTCCCCCGCTCTCTCTAGCAGTGGCCAGTGTACATGGTGGACTATTCCGGACTAAACGTGCAGCTTCCGGGGCCCCTTGATTATTAGACCTCAGAGCCGAATCAGGACCTCAACTCAAAAGACTAAAGGAAAATGTAATTTATGTACAAAGTATATTCGGATATGTATCAATGCCTTTTAGTTTTTCCAATGATTTTTACACTATATTCCTGCCGCCAAGGCCTTTTTAAATAAGTAAAGAAAATGAAAAAGAACAAATGCGTCACTTTTTTTTTTCCTGGTTATACGTACATGTTTGGTGGTGTGGCCCCACCCAGCAGGTGGTATGGTCCCATCTAGGGACTGAGTCAGACAAGACACCAGCTCAGGTGCCCTGGTTCCACCATACCCAGAAGTCTCCTATTCCTGAGTGCTGGGCTGTGGCATCCAGGGACAGAAGTTATTTTCTTGACTGCCAAGGGACTGAGGCCACAAGAGGAGCTACGAGTCCTTGCCTGGCAGGCACAAAGCCATGGATTCCACCCCAGCGCTGGGTGTGATGGTGTGCACCTGTAATCCCAGCGCGGAGTCGGGAGGATCCGGAGTTTCCCATCTGGAGCTGGGGAGATGACTGGGTGGGGAGTCCCTCCTTTGTGAGCGTGTTGATCTGACCTCGGATTCCCAATAGCCATGTTAACAGCCGTGCAGTGTGGTGGTATACCCCTATAATCCCAGCAATGGGAGGTTGGAAACCGGAGGATCCCCAGAGCGTGCTGGCCTGCTAGCCTAAGTGAATCAGTGAGCTCTGGGTCCTCAAGGGATCTTATCTCCAAACATAAGATGAAGAGGGAACCTTAGTGGGTAAAGGAGGCACTTGCTGACAAGCCTGCTGACCTGAGTCCACTCCCAGGGACCACTCGAGGGAAGAACGCCAACTCCTATACCCTCTGACCTCCACACTGCTGCCGTGTGGAGACACACACTAGGTGTGAGGTTTGTTTTCTTTCCTTTTTTTTGGTGGTGGTGGATTTCAAGACAAGGTCTCTCTGTGTAGCCCTTGAACTCACAGAGATCCACCTGCCTCTGCTTCCCAAGTGCTGCCACCTGGCTACTAAATGTAACATGAATATATATATATATATATATATATGTATGTATGTATGTGTATATGTATATGTATGTATTTGAGGCAGATACCTAGTGTTGACTATTGGGCTCCAAACACACATGTCCAAGCACATCTGCACACATGTTCCACACATTCAAATACACACACATATACCATAGCATTTCAGCACCAGCTTGTTCTGCCTGAAACCATGAATCTCCTCCTCCTCCTCCTCCTCCTCCTCCTCCTCCTCCTCCTCTTCTTCCTCCTCCTCTTGTTATTTTTTTTCATTGAGACTGGGTTTCTGTGTGTGGCCCTGTCTGTCCTAGAGCTCACTCTGTAAACCAGGCTGGCCTCAAAGTCAGAGACCCACTCCCCTCTGCCTCTCAGATACTGAGATTAAAGACTTAAACCACCAACTCCTGACACAATCAATGCTTTAACAACTGAGCTGTCTCCTCAGGCCTAAAATTAGACACACTCCCCACCACTGCTGCCTAGTTGTTGTTTTGGTTTTTTTTCTGAAACCATATGTTAAAAAAAGCAAAATGCCCTCGAAAGGAGAAATATCATACTGTCTTTATATCCAGAGCAATAAATGTTGATTGTACTGGAATTCTTGACCCTCAGCCTCTGCCAAAGCTTTCAATGGACACCCCCCAACCCCCACCCCACCTCTGTCACTGGAACCCTTCCTCTTCCTGCATCCCTTCCATGTTCCATCTTTCTATCTTGTCTGAGCTGGTTATTGGAAAGGAGAACAGGATGACCCCGGGACCTGGCTCTAGTTCTCCTGTCAGAATGAGTCCTCTGGCTTGACATGTGACAGACCAGTCCAGATACTTCTCCAAGGCCTGTGGGATGGCTCTGTGCATCCCAGCTGGGAGAGAGGCCCGGTTACAGACATCTGGATCACTTCCTCCTGGAAAGATGTTACAAGCCACAAAGTTGGCACACCCCTGTGGACTGTCCCCTCCCTCCACCCCGCTCTGCTGGCACCCAACCACCATCACACATGCCATTTAGCTCCTAGCTGGCCTCCTTTTCTACGTCTTGTAGATGGAAGAGAAGGATGGAGAACCACACCAGGATACTCAGTCTCTTCTCTATCTGGCTCCTCAACATTGAGGGATGGGGGGTGTCAACATTGAAGGATAGGGTCTCATGTGGTCTAGGCTGGCCTCAACTTCTTCGTAGTTGAAGATGACCTTGAACTTGAGGGCTTCCCATGTGCACCTCCCAAATGCTGGAGTCGCCTGCTTTCAGTACTTCACACTCATCCTCTTTCTCTTCAAGCTCCAAGGCTCCATCATGGACCGCCATCCCTTTTACAGGAACTACCTCCTCCAATGGGAATGGCTGGCCTGTGGTGTACCTATAATCCCAGCTACATAGAAGGCTGAGGCAGGAGGATCTTGACTTGAAAACCAGCCCAAGGCACACCTTGAAAACTCGATGAGCTCATATGAGACCCCGCTTCAAAATACAAAGTCGGATACGTGTGGCACCTGCCACCCAGCATTTGGGACGGAGGCTAGAGCACCAGTTCCAGGTCATTCTCCTTTACATAGCAAGGCGGGAGGCTAGAAGCAAGAACAGGATTTGGGTGTGGTGAATCTGTGGTGAGTTTGAGGCCAGCCTGGTCTACACAGAGAAACCCTGCACTGGAAGAAAACAAAACAAAAACATAGGACCTGGCAGACAGACGGGCCAGCCCAGCCACTTAGGTGTGTCCTCCTTTTACAAAAGTGCCAAGCTTAATTCCCTGCACCCATGTCCCATGGCTCATAACTGCCTGTAACTTGAACCCCACAGGTGAATGGACTGTATATTTCTACACACACACACAATTTAGGGTAATAAATTTTTTTAAAAAAATTTAATGTAAAAAACCTTTAGATCAACTCCAGATACTGCAAAGAAAAATCTCTGAGTCTGAGACCAACTGATCTACAGAGTGAGTTTGAGGCCTGCTGAGGCTACACAGTGAGACCCTGTCTCAATAAACAAATCCCTTAGAGGAGGGCTTCACCCACCCATTCTACATCCCACACCTACCCCCAACCCCAGGGGCTGGCGCGTGGCTCAGGATACTATATAACCAAAGCCTGGGTTTCATCTGCCCACATTTCAAAACAGAGAGAAAAAAAAAAAAAAAGGAAAACAGTTCCCAGGACTTTTGTCCCTGTTACTCTAAGCTAACTTCTTAGTACGATATTCCAGTTCCCCCCCTCCCAATCTTCTAGCTGAGCCTCAATAGCCACCCTTTACCCACGGCTGGAACCTAGGTTTTTGGTTAGACAGAGCCTTGGGTACCTGGTGTCCTTATTCTGAAAGCAGCCACTGGCGCCTGTCTGTGGTCTAGACCCGCCCCCTACTATGACCCGAGGCAACTAGATCAGAGCAAGTGGTTGGAGCCCCTGGGTGGAGCCGACTCTGGGAAACCGATCCAAAGGCTGTAAGCAAAATTCAAAGCCAAGTATTCCCTCCGAGATCACTGCAATTCAGTGGGTCTGGGCTGTGGAGCCCCTGTCTCTAAACAAAAGGGGCTGGGAGAACGTAACTCAGGCGGTGGGGGGCTTTTGCCTAGCATGCAGCAAGCCCTAGATTCCACCCTAGCACTGTGTAAAACTGGGCTCAGTGGGCATTGGGGGTCACACCTATAATCTCTGTAGAAGGCAAGAAGAGCAGGAATGGGAGACCAGCTGGAGCTACATGAGACCCGGTCTCAAGGCAAAAAACCCCAAATTTTAAAAAAAGGAGGATATCCCTCCAAAGTAAACCCTTTTGTTATTTGAAACAGGGTTGTAGGTTACCCAGTCTGACCTCTAAAGATGACCTTGCTAAAGATGGCCTTGAACATAGCGGGTGGGGGGGGGGGGGAGAGGCCTGTGTATCTGAGACAGGGTTTCTCTGTGTACCCCTGGCTGTCCTGAAACGTACATCCGCCTGCCTCTGCCTTCAACTGGGATTGAAGGTGTGTGTCCAAGTGCTGGGATCAAAGGCGTACCACACCACTTTAAAGATTTATTTATTTGTTTGTTTGTTTGTTTTTTAATGTATATGAGTACACTGTAACTGTCTTCAGACATACCAGAAGAGGGCGTCAGATCCCATTACAGATGGTTGTGAGCTGGTGGATGCTGGGAATGGAACTCAGGACCTCTGGAAGAGCAGTCAGCGCTCTTAACCACTGAGCCATCTCTCCAGCCCACCCATGAATTTTTTGATCCTCTTGCTTTGACCTCTCAAATGCTGGGATTATTGGTGTTTCTCCGTGCCTGGCTTCATCTAAAAATTTGACTAACTGTTCTCCTCTGTCCCCATTCCCAGTCCTCTCCCTGCTCCACCCACCTGTTCCACCAGTCCCCTACCCCCACCCTCACCCCCACCACTGCATCCCTGCGTCCTAGTCTCAGGTCCAGTCCCACCCCCACCCTACTTGGTTCCTGGGCTTTAGGAGCTGCGGTCTATCAAAGGTCAGCCCCACAGACCTGACCTTTGCTTGGTCTCCTTCCAGATCCCTCGGAATACCTTTCCTGGGTTTTTGTCTGCAGAAAGCTTCCAGATGCCATTTATGCAAGCACTCAAGAATCTGCGCCTGCCCCACTTTGTAAAGCGATTTGCTTCAAAGCGCTCTTTCTTTAATTAAACTTCATTTAAGCGCCATCTGTCTCCGTTCAAAATGGCTTCGTGTTTTGCAACTCGAAATGAGAATTGTTGTTGGTTTTGTAAACATATCCCCCCCAACCCCAAAGAAAAATGACAAAAACACTTTCCAAAGTAATAAACGAGGGATGCGGATTGCTGTGCTGCATTTCAACCGTTCTAATTGCCCGGGGATGTGTGCTGGTGGGTGTCTAATCATCCTAGACACAAACTCTTTGTATAAAGATCTGGTATCAATGAAAAGATCGAGATTAGAGAAAATGCTAGAATTATATCTGACTGAAAACAGTAATTCAGCCAGAAACGACATCAGGGTGAGGCAGGATGGAAGAAGAGTAGGGTGGCTGCCCCACACCTGCTCCTCAAACCACAGCTGCTACTGGGGGCTGCTCTCCCTCCCTGCGCAGGTGCACCCAGGGTACCAAACAGATGGGGTGGACTTGTGTTCTTGGAGGCGGGAGCTTCCCTAAAATGTCTCTCTCTGTCTCTGTGCTTCTC